TTCTACCTCTTGTCAGTCAGCTTCTGATTCGTCAAAACTTTCCTAAATTCGACTGATTAGAATCTTACTTTGCTTGTAGTTTGCGTGACGAAGCATTAGCATTAGTCGACTAGTATTTTTGGATTAAAAAGAAATGATTGGCTTTCAAAACATAAGAGAAACTTAAAAATAACAAATTATTAAAATTAATCTTGTGTATATTTCTTTAATGACTGTATTTATTTCGCTTATAGGCAGCTTTTGCTTAATTTTATAACTTGAACTTAATTACCTGGATGTGGGGCATTTTCGTTAGTGCCTGGATTTTCTGATAAAGTTCGATTTAACCTAGTGTTAATTATAGTCCTTTTAACAGGGAAATTTCAAAAATTGTATCCATATCCCCATTCCTCGCTCGAAATTTGTTACATTTTTTGTAAGGATTCCAACTGAACGATTTAGAAATCCTGCACCTATCCTGCTTCGAACGGAAACTGTTAAGTCCCTCTCTTCATATGATGAAAGTAGAGTCACAACTGCACAGAAACTCTTTATTTTCTTTAAGCATTTATTCTTATAACATAAAGAGATGAAAATTTCACTTCTCCACATATTAGCAAGCATTAGTATCTTACTATGAGATAGCACTATTCAACACTGTCTAGTTTACAAGTTAAAATTCTTAATTTCTTTTACCTTCAAACACAAATAAGTTAGCATTTTAGGTCGGAATCAGGCATGTGGTAATTTTTCTAATGTTTCCATCTTTAGAACAGCTGAAAGATGTTGAATGTAGAATTTTATCTCGATTCTTTGGTTTTTCGGCTGCTCTGTCAATAATACTTTCTGGGGCTGGTCTTCTAATCATTATGCTGGTGTCCTTGTCAGTATGACATATTTTTCCTTATGGGCTTTCATTGATATTTACTTTAGTCAAGAACTCAAATAATCAACTCTACCTCGCAGCCATCCGAATAGTATCGACATCATTCTCCTTATACCTGTCAAGTGGCGTAGTTATCTTCCTCTACTTTGAAACCAGCAGAGTGCACGGCTGCGCAATGTGTATTGCTTAAGAAGGAACTCGATAGATTACGTATTAACATTTGTATAGTTATATCATCGAGTTGTTTGAGTCTATTAATTTTGTCAAAATGCTTTTTGCATCTTACGACCAGTGGGTAGATTCTGGATCTTTATCCGGGACTTGGTCACAAAAGATCTTGGCGAAATGTCAACCTATACGACCGGCAATCTTCTGGGAGAATTCAGTTACTAAAGTACATATTTTGTTTTCTTGACAGCCAAGGAGGGGGGCAGGCTAATACATATTCTTGGTGATATTTCTGATAGGAAAAACATTGAATTTGAGCGACGAGTAATATAAGGCTCCGTGTCTAAATTATCATAATAAAAGACTGTTATATCGTTGATAGCGAAACCTTCTAATCGTCTTAATGCTTAACTTTCAGGTGGTTTCCGATACCTTGCAACAACAGCTACCTCAGATGCTTTTTGATCCTCCGGTTCACACTTTGCCTTCCTGGTTGCCGGTTCCTCCACACCAGCCTCACTTGGTAAATAAAGCTCTAGGACTGCGTTGTGGCCGAGGTCTCTTCAAGACTGGTGCCTATGCACCAGACCTGGGCCCTATTCAGACACATCGGGACGCTCTGGTAGCCGCCGCTCTGCTGGCAGCTAAGCAGAAACTGCCTACCTCATCCCCCAAAATGCCTCCACCCGTGGCTGCGGTCTCGTCTGCAGCCGATTTGGTTTCTCTACCCTCCTCAATGCCACCTGTGTCGAAGACCATTTTGGATCGAAGGGATAAGATGCCCCGATTACCTGGGCCAGCGATATTTGCGGAAGATGAAAATGAGTCATCGGAAGTAAGAATAACTATTATTATTATTATTATTATTATTATTATTTTACTCATCCGATTGCCTGTAGTGCTCAAGTAGACTGAAGAGTCAAACCTTTCTTGGCCGAAATGCTTTGTATATTTTAGTCATTCAAACTTTTTGACTGATAACTCCTTCGAGCTAAGAAAATCGCGTTATATGTTCAATATTTGGATCAAAACTCATCTGATGGACTTTTTTCGTTTCATTTCTTCTTAGGCTTCATATCAAAGCTTAATCTGCTTAATTAAATGTATGAATACTGAGTTGGTATGGCCTTTTGTGTGGTCGCAGTCTCCTTTCGTCGTATACAAATTGTTTGACTTTGTTTTCGCAATTGGTAGGAAGACTTAGAGGAACGAACCTAGTCCTTGGTCTTTATACTTTCGATTGTACTGGCCTGGTAAACCTCA